TTGATCTGGAAAGGAAGGTGCCTCAGCCGCCACGTCCTGCCTGCTAACCCAGTGTGTGTGTCTGTCTTATTTACATTTTTTTTTCATTTTTTTGAGACAGGGTTTCTCTGTAGCTTTGGAGCCTGTCCTGGCACTAGCTCTTGTAGACCAGGCTGGCCTCGAACTCACAGAGATCCGCCTGCCCCTGCCTCCCAAGTGTTGGGATTAAAGGCGTGCGCCACCACCGCCCGGCTCTTATTTACATTTTTGAGTTGAGGGCCACTTAAGCCTTACAGTGGGGACAGAATGTTGTCACCCCTCTGACCTATAGTTCACTTCCCTCTTCCAGAGTGTCTAGTCTATGCACACAGTAGGGATCCATTCCCTGCACACAGTAGGGAGCTCAGTTCACTTCTCAGAGCCATTTCTCAGCTTGTTTCATTACTCTCCCTTCTAAGGAGCCATTTCAGGATTTTTTTTAAACAAGTGCTTTCATGTGGAATGAATATATATAATATATATTTATGTAGTATTTCATATATGTATTCATTCAATATTTACGAGAGAGAGTCTCTGAACAGATGAGGCTGGCTGTAACCCATGCTCCTGATGCTTTAGAGTGTTGGGATTACAGGTGTGTAGCACCACGCCTGCACATCCTCAGACTCCACACTCCTAGGGTGGCCTTGAACTCACAGAGATCCACCTGCCTCATCCCTGAGTCCTGGGATTAAAGATGTGTGCCAGGACTCAGGGATGAGCCACCCTGGGCTATGTAAGATTGTAAAGAGAAACAGAACTCACACGAAGGTGATTCCCGCACTTGGGATCACCTGTCTTTAAACCCAACACTAGAGAGGTAGAGTCAGGAGTGATATGGCTGAGGGGGAGAGAGGAATATAAGGGGGAAGAGGTAGGAATTCAGTGGAGTGTGCAGTCTGAGGATTTGTGGAGACAGGATCTTGCCCTTTGGTCTGAAGATTTGGTGGAGGTAAAAGGCTGTTTTGCTTTTCTCATCTTCGGGTTGAACCCCAATATCTTCCTCTGGATTTTTATTATTCGTGCTACAGCAGCCTGGTGATAAACTCTTTACTTTTTGTAGGTCTCAGGGAGCCCAGCCTGGGTGCATCATGACAGGTGCCAGCCTCTGTCCCTCAGTGTCACCCGAAAAAGTGACTGTGGGAAAGGAAGGTAGAAAGTGCCCAGCATCTATAAACCTTACCTGTGATCACCTGTCACCATATGAAGCTCACACTCTGCCTTGCTCAGTCAGCTCTAAGTGAGGCTTCTTCTGTGCACCCTAAGAAGTGAAGCCCACAAACAGCTGGTGACAGCCAGAGCAATTTGGGCTGAGGGAGGAGGTGGTTTAATAAGGGGACCACACGGCACTGTGGAGCACCAAGGAGCATCATGTCGCTGAAGGAGGCTGAGCTGCCCGGGGGATGGAGTCTGTCAGTGTGGCTGTTTGGATGAGGATGTGTGTGTGTGTGTGTGTGTGTGTGTGTGTGCGCGCGCGTGTAGTTAACTACGGCCCTGGAGGCCGTGATGAGGACCGTGGCTCTCTCAGCCCTACAGAAGCCCCCGAACTGGCTGCCTAGCTGAGAATGGCCTGCGAGTATGAAGGGCTGGGGCAGCTTCTGTGAGGCCTGGAGGTAGGGGTTCCTGAGTGTCAAGGTTGAGGGGCTGGAGAGGTTGGATGTGGGGCAGAGTTAAGAGATGTAGCATGAATAATAAAAACCCAGAGACAGAATTTGGGGTTCAACCTGAAAACCAGAAAAGCAAGGCAATCAAGCCACTAGTGAAGCCTTACTTCTACCAAGGCTGGGTGCCCACAAACTAAGCAGACTAAGCCTCTCTCTCCTCCCATTTTATATTCCCTCTAGTGCTGGGATTAAAGACATAACTACCTAGTATTGGGATTAAAGGGGTGAATCACCATCACCCGAATTTATTTCTGCATTGATCTTGCATAGTCCAGGGTGGCCTTGAACTCACAGAGATCCATCTGTCTCTGTCTTAGTGGCTTAGCTTTGCCCTTCTGATCTTTGGGCAAGCTTTATTAAAACATAAATAAAATATCCCTATAAAGAGGTGACTGTTGGGTCTGACTCCACTTGCCTGCCTGGGTCCCACCAGTCTGTGGCTACACTCTGGAGCCTGCTGCATGGAGCTTGAGTTGACACCAGGACAGGGCAGCTGCCGCTGGCTCAGCAAACCATCCAGTGGAGTCCCGTGCTGGGTGGCCCTTTGGAAGATAAGCTGCAGAAAGCCACTGCGGAGCTCTATACACCCTGAGCCTAGCACAGTAGACCTCATTTCTGTCCACTTCTGCAGTCGCTGGGCCTCTGCTGCTGGAGTCAACAGGGAACAAGAGCTGCCCGAGAGGGACCATTTATCCTATCATCACCATGGAGCTTCTGTTCCCAGAATTCCATAGTTCCATTGGAAAGTCAGTTCCCACAGAGCACCATGGTTGTGGGGGACACAGAGGGTGCACAGGCAAGTAGGTGGCTGCTTCTCCCAGATATGTCACAGGGAGGCCTAGGACCATGGGGTGCAGGCTGACGGAGGCATTTGGGAAGCAGCAAGCTATTAGAGCCTGTGTGGGTCTCTTCCCTTTCCTGCTCTGATGACAGTGAGGAAGATGACGGTGACACCATATTCCATGGCATGCTGGGGGAGGACAGAGTGAAGGAAGACCAGGCACAGCCACTGAAAGAACTGGGACGTGCTACCACTGGACACAGGGAGGAAAGGGTGGCGATGATGCCTGTGACCCTAAGAGGAAAAGGTAAGGGTCAAGACAGCAGAGCTGACAGAGTGTCTACTCCGGGACAGTCACAATACCACAGTCAAAGCAAGAAGCCAAGAGTCCCGTAGCGAGGGCACCAGAGGAGAAATGTAAACTGAGCTGGCCTATGGTGGTGCACACCTTTAACCCCAGCACTCAGGAGGCAGAGGCAGGTGAATCTCTGTGAGTTTGAGGCCAGCCTGGTCTACACAGTTAGTTCTAGGACTGCCAAGGCTACACAGAGAAACCCTGTCTTGAAAAACCAAAACAACAACAATAACAACAACAAAAGCCTCCAGCAAAACAAAACAAACAAAACAAAACCTCACAAAAACCAAACACCCAAATCTACCTTTAAAAAAAAATAATAATAATAAGAAATGTAAACACACTGGTCAGAGGCAATGGGGTGGACTTGCACTGGAACCCTCCAGAGTCCAGTCGGAAAGGCGTGGAAGATGTCCCCAGAAGGGGAGTGTGTTCCTAGCATTTTGTTTTCATTTTCTGTTTTCCTTCCTTCCTTCCCTCCCTCCTGGGTTACTCTGTAGACCCGGAATTCTTGGCAATCCTCATACTCTCCAGGGCTTTCTGTGCTCAGCCTCCCGAGCAGCTGGGATGTCATCTTTCCTGCAGCTCAGACTCATCGGCCGTGGGCTTGCTGTACTGTCCAGCATGGCTGTGGTGGCCATCATTTCTTCTCCTTTCTCGCATCCTCGGGATTTTCTTGTTATGAGCAGAGGCCCACCACGCTGCTGCAACAGTCAGTATCCTTGCACGGAAGGGAGCTGGGGTGCCCGACCCAGCCCACCAGGTCTCTGAGCCGTTTGCCAGATACGGACACCATTGGTCTGTGGCACTGCCGCAGCTATGCGAGGCCTGGGGACTGCGGGACAAGCAGCCCCTCTTGGGTGTGGCTGTCAGAAGATCGCTGGGAAGAGCTTGTTCAATTTGGGACCCGCTAGTGGCAGACCCTTCCACAGGGATTCGAAGCGGTCATGAGGAGGTGGTGACCCAGCAGAGATGAGAAGGAAAGCCCAGGGACTCCATAGGATCTACAGGGCGATTGTAGGGACGTGTTCTGGAATGGTCACCGCTGTAGTATATGGAGGCAGGGGTAGGTGTCCATATTCCCCTCCTCTGCTAGAGGCAGCTCCGGGATGGGGCTGGAAGGAACCACCTGGCAGAAATCGGTTCCCTTCATCTGCCTATTTGTTGATTGGCAACTTTTGTTTCCTTGATACTTAACTTTTGCATTTTTTTGTAAATTCTGGATTTAAACTCCTGCCTGAGGTACGGCTAGATAAGATTTTCTCCCATTCTGTGGGCTGTTTCGGGGTAGGTGGGCGGGATGTGTCCGGCACACGCATGGCTGTTAGAGGACAACTTGCGGGAGTCCTCGCCTTCCACCAGTCCCGGGATTGAACTCTGGCCTTCAGGCTTGGCAGCAGGTGCCCTAATCCGCTGAGCCATCTCACTGACTCCAAGCGCTATGTTTGGTCTTCCCAAAGCCCTGGATGGAAACGTTTCTTTTAAAGTTACAATTCGTGCACATCTGACAGGCATGTGAAGCCCAGGGTCACTGAGCTTTCGCCCCATTTAATAACGAATGGCTCTGGATAGAGGTGGGTCCCAGATGTCAGAGACACTCAAAGGGAATGTAGCCCATGGGAACTTCCAGTCCTGTCCTACCTCCTGTCTCTTTTCAGGGGACCGAGGTCGGGAACAGGGTCGGGACCGGGACCGAGGTGCCTCTCGCGCGCATAGGACCATCCACAGGAAATGGTGAGTGGCCTCGGTCTGGACACCACGTCAACTTGGGCGACGAGTGCAAAGGGAGCGGGACCCAAGTGTCCAGAGGCCCCTCTGTCCCACAGTTCCCATGAGCCGCTGCAGAAAGTAGCCAATCAGATGTCAGCTCAGTGCACGACCAAATACGACAGCTTCTGATTGGTTGGTTGAGGGCCAATCAGCGGGTCCAGCGGGAAGCTGTTGCGAAGCACCGCAACCCTCCAGCCCTTGCGAGGACTCTGGACCAAGCCTGGCTCTGGTCCGACACTGCTGCATAGCGCATGCCTAGCACAGCCCATCATGACAGATCAGGTCAGCCCAGAGCTTGCACAGGTGACCTCGAAGCTCACCTGTGAGTGCCTGGAGCCCCGGGGCCGCCCGGTTCAGCGGTAGCGCAGTGGCAAGGAAACGGAAAGGCGACCTACTCTTTCCATCCCTGGAAATGTCAGGAGCAGGCCTTCAGGCATGGCTGTATCCAGGTGTGCAAGGACTGTGGCCCTACATGGTTTCTCCTCAGCCCTCATTTCCCTTGTGCTGGCTTCCTTCCCAGGCGAGATGACCACCCAGACCACAGGGTTTTTCCTTGTTATTAGGGTACCTCCTTCATCAAAGAAGTTCCAGATTTAGTCTCCAGGGTTATGAGGCTGTAGTGACCAGTCTCTGAGACCAGGCTGGGTAGGCTGGATGCTGTGCAGGGCAGCCCTGTGTCTTGTTTCCAGTCATCAGTAGGAAAATTGAGTGCAGTGGCCTGAAACACACTCTAACACTCATGTAATCTTAGTACTCAGGAGACTGAAGCAGGAGGATTGCTGTGGGCTTGAGGCGAGCCTGGATTATATAGCAAAATCCTGCCTCAAGTAAACAAAGCAGACAGTAATGGTTGATTATACTGAAACAAAAAAAAATGCTCAGACAGTATGCTTTCTGACATGAAGCAAGGAGACACACACCGTGAAAAACCAGCTTTGCCCAACATTCAATGTCTCTGTGCCAGAGATTCTCATGGCCAACATCTTGGCAGTGTGTGGCTGGGATTGGGGGGGAAAGTAACCATTACTCCAAGAATTCTGTTTTGCTGTGTCCCCCTCTGTCTGCTTCTGTCCCCCTTCGTTTTGCTCTGTCCCCCTCAATTCTCTGTCCCCCTCTGTTCTGTTCTCTGTGCCCCTACATCTTGGCCTGTCTTCCTTGAGGCAAAGTCACCAGGTCTCCTGGGTTTTTGTAGCAGTTTTGACGGGCTCTCCCTCTTATTGCAGCAAGCCTGTGCATATCCAACAAAACCTCAGTGGAATCCTGGGAGGTTTTGTCCATAGGACTTTTCTGAGAACCAAGCCTGGCTTTAACTGGGGTGTATTTAAGCAAACTGGTTTGGGAACACAGGGTCCCATACCAGTGGGGAAGTTATCCCGTGAGTGAGCCTGCCCTCTGTCACCACGAAGCACCTCCTGGGCTCAGAAGGAAGACTTCTCCACACTGATCTTAGTGCCCAGGCTCACCGGTGCCCAGCCTACAGTTTGTGCAGAGCCCAGAACACTCTCAGCTGTGGTTTTCTTTTCTAGGAAGGGTTCATTTCAGACCTTTGGAAAGGAGGTGTGCATCACGGGTCACTCGGTAAGGACATGTCCTCAGCTTCCTGTCCCTCCTGTGGGTGAAGGGGGAGATGAGGGTCCTGGGTGTGGCCCTTGTAGAAGCATGTGCTTGTTTGGGTCTCTTTGGTCCCATATGTCTCTGTAGTGTCACCTCCTTCCTTCTCGTCCCACCTGGGACCAGGCACCCCAGGAAATCCAGAAGCCCCTTCAGTGACTCGCCTTGGTTACCAGCTTCTTTATCTGCCCCATAGAGGGGGCGGTGACCCCCAACACACAGTCAGCACCATGTAGAAAGCCGCAGGTCAATCAGGGATTAGTCACTTTCTCCTGCTCTAGTTGCTCGAATCTTCCATAGACAGACTTGCTTGCAGTGAGGCAACAGTGAGTGGCCAGGATTCCCAAACCCAGCTTGTAGACCCAAGCTGGCAGACTTGTAGCCAGTCTCATCCTGAGCCACAGGTGGGCCTGAGTACCCGTCCCTTCCCCTGGGTGCTGTCCTCCGCTCCTGTCAAAATGCCTTTCGTGCTTAGTCCTGGCCTGTGTCTTGCTCAGGTGCCAGCTGGTTAATTCTGTCCTGTGTGTTCTGCTCAGGTGTACCCCGGTCTCCACACCACCTTCCAGGAGTACATGTGTTGCCAATGCTATGCCAGGTTTGGGGGCCACTTGCCTGTGCCCTGGGCTGATGCACTGCTACCCTACTGGGTCCCTCTGTCCCTGAGACCACGAAAGCAGGTAACTAAGTGATGTGGTAGGTTGTCACTTAGGGCCAGGGCACATGTCCAGGTCCAGAGCCCATCAGAACCGTGGGTGTCCTATGGCTGAACTTTCTGGGGCACAGTTGTGGTTTTAGTTGGGGATTCGACCAAGTAGGTAATTACTCTGCACTGAATGAATAGTCCCTGCCCATCTTCCTCCTCCTCTCTCTCCCTTCCTCCTCTTTTGTTTATTTTTCATTGTGTGTGTGTGTGTGTGTGTGTGTACATGTGCCACCATGGTACACCTGTGGAGATCGGAAGATATGTTTGGGGTTGGCTCTTTCCTTCAGCCATGTAGGCTTCAGGGATCAAACTCCTGTCAGACTTTTGACTGTGCACCCTTACCTGCTAAACCATGCCTTTGGTTTGCATAGTTCTTTTGAAATTCATTCGTGTGTTGTGTGTATTAGGTCTGAAGTGTCCTCTCATCTCCCTCGTGCCTGCTTCTTTTCTGTGGGCACCATGCCCACTGAGAGCAGTTCACTAAGTGGCACAGCGCTGACTACCATGGACCAGGCCATGCCCTCATCCTCCAGGGCAAAAGGAACTCAGAAAGAGTTTCCTGGACTTGGGTGGAGAGGTAGAAGGGCAGTTACCTCTCGTCCATGCCACAGGCTTCTAGACAGCTCATTTACCATGGACAAGGTGCCAAGGAATTTCTTTGGCATGTGATGTTGAGGCCAGCCTAGTCTGCATAGTGAGTTTCAGGTCAGCCAGGGCTACATAGAAAGACCCTGTCTCAAAACAAAACAAAACCATAAACAAAATAACCAAAAAACAAGAAGGATAAAATACCAATAAATAAATTAAAAAAAGAATAGAAAAGACCACACAACTCCTAATTCTTCCCAAACAGTCCCAGCAAGTACAGACCAAGTACTCAAACACAGGAGCCTGTAATAGCCATTCCCATTCAAACTATCACAAGTACCATGTGTGTTTTGGAATATTTTTTACATTTATTTATTTATTGGGTTGTATATATGTATGCGTGTATGGGGTGCACACGTGCCACGGGGCATGTGTAGGAATCAGAGGACAATTTACAGGAGTCAGCTCTCTCCTCCACTGTGAGTCCCAGGGATCGAACACAGGAGGACAGGGCAGATAGCAGGTGCCCTTGCTGCTGAGCCATCTTGCTGGTTTCTGTGCCTGGTGCTGTTGGAGATGGAATCCAGGTCCCTGTGCATGCTAGGCAAGCCCTCTCCTAGCTGGGCTGTTTCCTACCCTCTTAGAGACAAGGGTTCCCTGTGTAGATCAGGCTAACCTTGAACTCACAAAGACCGGTCTGCTTTCTGAATGCTGTAATTAAAGGCATGTGCCACCATACCTGGCGCCCCCTCACCCTTTTGAACCTTTCTTACTGTCCACTGGCAGGTCTCAAAGATGATGCGATGTTCTATCCCCAGAGCCATAAGGTCATGTCGTTGCCCCTGCCACTGCTTTGGGGGCCGCCTTCCGATGCCCAGGGATAGGGCTGTTATGCCCTATTGGGTGCCCCAGGGGCTGAGGTCACAGAAGAAGGTAAGAAGGGGGCTTGTGAAACAGGGCTGAATGAGAGGTGGGCAGGGGAGGAATCCAAGGGGCCACCTCCTCCCTAGTGGCCATGACGAGGGCAGCTGAGGACAGAAGTTTCGTGTCTTGTGGAGGCTGCTGGGAAGTGTAAGCCTCATTCTCTGAGCATAGTGAGAGGTCACGTGATACACAGACCACTGCATCTTTTCCTCTTTGCTGTCTCCTCCTCCGTCTTTCTTCCTATTATGCCCTGTGCCCCACCCCATCTCTCTGGAGCTGTCTAGACTCCTTGGAGGTGACTGGGAGGAATCATGGCTCCCGGTTTCCTTCCTTTGGAGCCATCTGTACCCCATAGCTGCAGTTCTAGGCCAGGATTGGCTGCATCCAGGCTTCCTGCAGCCTAGAGGACCTTCCCAGTATTCTGCCTTCCTAGTTAGAAGTCTTCCCCCCCACCTCTTCTCCTGCCTTCCCACCCATTGCTGATCAGCAAGTGATCCCCAGCATAAAGAACTCAATCCTGAACCGGGAACTACAATAGCCCTTGCCCTGAGGTCTCAAGTCCTGACCACTCCCCCGACACTGTTGATCACAGGATGGCATACTGACCCACTTTCTTATCTCTTAGGTGGTGAAAAGGCTGGAGAACGGCAAAGACACCCCAGGTAACTCCACGCCAGGTGTTACCTCATCCTGCCCTGGAAAGGGGCGGGGCAAGGCCACACAGGTGACACAGTCATCTCTAACCCTTGCCAGGTGTCACTAGCTGCCTGCTGGCTGCCTTTTTACAAACGACACAGGCAGACCACCGGTCTTAGCAGTGACAAGCTGCGGCTGGTGACGTCTAAAGTGGTTTGATTTAAGCTATGAACTTCTGTGACTTGTGGTACATAGCGTGTGTACATGATCACTTTTGCACTGATATGTATTTCTGATGTGACAGCTCCTGTATAATACACACATGTGTGCAGGCATTATACAATCATAACAGTGTGTGTGCGCTGCACAGTGTGTTCATATGCCCATGCATGTGACCTGGCATGTATGCATTCCCATGTTCATGGTTGATAATGTATGCTCACATTCACATGCTCAGTGTATGCACACACACACTTGGCAGCACACTCACATGTTGGTGATGCGACCCTCGGACACACCGCCACGGCTCAGATCTCTGGGAGAGACAATCTCTTCCCCACATTGCTTATGCTTTTTGAATTGTGTTCTGGACTTGATTTTGAAGTCCAGGCTTTGGTCTGGTGTCAGGTGCTACTCGGCTCTGTGCCAGCGCTGCACAGGGAATCCGTGTTCAGGACCTGGGTTGGGGACACCGTTCTGAAAAGGCAGGGGCCAGGAGCTTGTGGAAGGAAAGGGCGAGAAGCGCTTGGGAAATGGATAGCCACCTACCAACCTGTTCTTAAATGTGTCAGAGCGTCCCGTTCCCAACCCCAGAAGCAACACTGTTCCCCGGAGTGCAGATTCTCCCAGCCCTGCAGGCACAATTTGAAGGCATCAAGTTTGAAGCATGGCATTTGTTGGGGACAGTCTGAGGCACTTAGCACTCTCTCACCAGTGTGGGGAAATGTCACAGCAAAATCTTGGGGTGCCTTGAGCTTGTCTCAGTAGAATAGACGGTGTGGGCTGTCCTTGACATGAAGCTCTTGCTATGGGGAGACAGAACTCCGAGTCACAATGACACTGACCCAATGGACTGGCCCCAGGACACATGGCTCCTGGAGAATCAGGTCCTTGGAAGCCATGCAAAAGGATGTCCTCACAGATGTTCAGAGCTGGAACCCTGTAGGGTGCAGAGGGAGGGTTGATAGATATCAAAGCCAGTATTGTTTTACTCTGGTCATATCTTCACCTTTTATTTATTTTTTTAAGACTTATTTACTTTTATTTTGTGTATATGAGTGTTTTCATCCCTGCAATGCCCATGGAAAGCCAGAAAAGGACATCAGTTACTCTAGAAGTGGAGTTACAGATGCTTGTGAGCCATCATGTGGCTGCTGGGAATTGAACCCTGGTCCTCTGGAAGAAAGGACCGTCTCTAGTCTCTGAGCTGTTTCTCCAGCTCCTCCAATCGTGCCTTCTAGTTGAAGTGACTTATTGTTTTGTTTTCAAGATGAGCTCTTCCTGTGTGAACTCCTCTGCTCAAGCCGTCCTCCCTCCTCAGCCTCCCCTGTGGTAGGGATTGCAGGTGCCTCACTGTGTCCCTCAGTTCAGGTGACCTACAGAGTACGTTTGTTAAGCCTCTCACCTGTTCACTATAGGAGACTTCAGAGGCGGGATCAGGACGACAGCCTGTCCACATTTCCCTGCCTTCTTCCATCTCAGTGTGATTCATCATTTGGTTTCAAATCCAACGGGTTTCCATTTGAAGTTTTTGTGTGTGTGTGTGCACTTTTTGCATGCTAAACGACATCTTCAGACACATTTTTCTCTTACATTTTTCTCAACAAAGAGGGTTCCATGACTTTCTGCTCTGTACCGTGGTGGGATTTTTTTCAGAATGAAAGTGTATTTATCATATTGCATATTAAGAGTGTTTTTGTATTGATACAATTATGATAAAATTAAGGCTTATATTTCTATTAATAGGCAGAGGGAACTGGAGGCCAGTCTGGTCTACAGAGTGAGTTCTAGGACAGCCAGTGTTACACAGAGAAACCCTGTCTTGAAAACAAGCAAACAAACAAATAAGAAGGAACTGTCTGTTGGGACGCCACCCTGACATAACCTGCACAGGCTGGGTGGGGCCAGTTTCCCATAGCCTCACAGCCCTCGGTTTCTGGGGACCCCAGCAGGTGTCCTGCCCTGTCCCCAACAGTGCTCCTCTTGCTCCTAGAGTGCTCTCTGGAATCAAGCAGCTGGTATGGCTGTTGGCGGGTCTGTGGGGACCGGCATCTCCTCCTCAAGTGGCAGCAGCTCCAGGCCCTTTATCAAGATGAGCTGTCAGACCCTCAGGAGGATGAGCTGCCAGACCCTCAGGAGGATGAGCTGCCAGACCCTCAGGAGGATGAGCTGCCAGACCCTCAGGAGGATGATCCACCTGCTGGCGGCTTAGGCTTCCTCCTGCCCGTGGGCTTCAATCTCCTGACCCTGCTGCAGGCTGTCCTGAGGGCCATCATGGCCATTCGGTGAGCTGCTGGGGTGTTGAGAAGGGGTGGGTCTGGACTCCTCACTCCCTCTGGAATCTAGAGTCCCTGCCACCAGCATCCTGCCCCAGACTTGTCTTGCGTCCTTTACTGAAAGAGCATTGAGCCCTTGGATGCCAGGCAACAGCACTTGTAAGGCTCTTCCAAGGGGTGTCCTTGACTTCACAGGCTGGCTTGGGGGCAGTGGTGCTGGCCCAGCCCCCTGTCCAGCTGGGATGTGTGGAGCCCCGTGAACCTGGCTGCCCCTGTGGCCTGGCAGACACTCAATGGCAGGGAGTCCAGCTCAGAGCCTTTGAAGTAGCTAGGGAGCCCCTCCCCCCAGCTCTACAAAACTGGGTGTTTCCTCCCTTTCTGAGAGTGGGCACTTAAGGTCAGAGGCTCACTGGGACCCACATCTGGGAATCAGAGTTGCTGCGCTGACCCCAGTCCACTTCCCCAGTTCCTGAGTGTAGAGGGGACGCCCCCACAATCCCCGCTGTGAAGGCTCCTGGCAAGCCCATGCTCAGGACAGAGCCCTCAGCCTGGGGACAGTTCCCAGCACTTGCCTTTCTCTTGGCTTTCTAGCCATTTGTTTTGGGACTGAGGTGGAGTCTTCAGCTACTGTCAAGATCCTCAGCAAGAATGTCAGTCACGATCATGGTCCTCAAGGGGAGCCCTCGGATCAGGAGGGTCTGAGACATTCGCCGTTTCCACACTGATAAGACCTGCACCCACGATCCAGTTGGAACTGGAAGCCACCACTGTGACTGATAGCTGAAGGGGACCTGGTGTGAATGTCCAAACAAGTCTGTTGTGAATGCAGCCAATAAATGTTATTTGTGAAACTATCCCGTGCTTTGCCTGTATGCATGTCTGCATGCATGTCTGTGCACCGTGTGTGTGCCCGGGTGCACGTGGAGGCTGGGAGAGGGCATCAGATCCCTGGAACTGCAGCTACAGACGATTGTGAGCCATCTGTGTGGGTATGGGAATTTGAACCCATGTCCTCTGGAAGAAAAGCCAGTGTTTTTAACCACTGAGCTATCCCTCCTGTCCCCAAACCATATTTAAAGAGCTACCCGTGGTTCTACTTTACTAAGGAGAAACCTGGCCTCTGTCTGTGTCCCTGGAGGGGACTCATTTCTACATCTCTTTCCTCTCAAGGATCGACAGGGTTTTATTTAGGTTTGTTTGTGTGTGTGTGTGTTGCTGTTGTGGTGGTGGTTGTTGTTTTGAAACAGTCTCTCTCCACATCCCTGACTCTCCTGGGATTCTACTCGCTCAGTAGACCAGGGAGGCCTTGATCTCACAGAGATCCACCTGTCTTTGCCTCTTGAGTGCTGAGATTAAAGGTGTACGGTCAACACACCTGGCCTAAAAGGGTTTTATTTAAGACTTGATCCAGGGTGTCGCCTTTTAATGCCAAATAGTAGTATTTAAAATTGTATGTGAGGGTCTGGAGAGGTGGCTCAGTGGCTGAGAGCACTGGTTGCTTTCCCAGAGGACCCGGGTTCCTATACTGTCTGTAACTGCAGTTCCAGGGAATCTGACACCTTCATACCAAATGCACATAAAGTTAAATAAATATTTTAAAAATTGTATGTGAATTGAAACATTTACATTTATTTATATATTTAAAACAAATGTGTGCAGTAACTGTATAGCGCTCTAACTGCGGTGCCTCTCCAGCATCTTGATTTTTTTCTTGTTTGTTTTGAGACAGGGTTCTCACATAGACCAGGCTCGCCTCATACCCCTGATTCTCCTGCCCCCCCCCCTTCCAAGTGCTGGATTTCTAGGCGTGTAACACCATGGTAACCATGAACTAAAAGGTGAATGGGAATATCATTTGCATGATGTAAATAAAAGTCACCACCTTGAAGATCATTCATTTGCTGAACCAGGAGCTCAGGATTTGGCTCTTGGGATCGCCTGTCTCCACCCCCAGGGCTGGGCTCCATTTCTTTTTGTGGAAATGCTGGGAATCCGAACTCAGGTCCTAATGCATGCATGCAAGCACTTTACCTACTGTCTCTCCAGCGCCATTCCAAAGGCTCCCATAAGAAGGTCTCTCCATCCCCTCACCCAGAGGTCCCCTTCTAGCCAAAACCCTCCACAGCCAGGAAACCAGTCTGCTTCGACCTCAGAGCACTGGGTCCCAGCCTTCTACAGGATAAGACTTCCACACTCAGCCTCACACAACCAACGCGAGAGTGTGCAGGGACCCACCTTCCCCCTTGGCAGGTGGCAACTGGCGAGAGCAGCAGCCTCGTTCCCGAAGCCTGGCTTGTACTGTACACAGCAGCTGGGACACTTCTGCTGTGCGAGAGCAGAGCCGAGGTCAGTGGCAGCTTTTACGCTTGAGGCAGCGCAGTGTCCTGGGCCAAGAGCTGAAGGAGACTGCGAGGGAGACCATCCTCCTGGCAGAGCGTCGGTCAAGGGCTGCCAAGTCTGCGGCTGTCCGGCTCCAGCGGGCTCCAGATGCTACCCAACTATACTGGACCGCACAAGTCGATAGTGCCTAGCTCCCAACATGGCGGAGTTGCCACTTAAAGGCAAGCGACAACCACAGGCTCCCTTGGGAGGAATCTGCACCCCCCAGAACTTGACAGTCATCCACCCTTTTTCTCAAGAGTTGGCCGGTGTCCGCCTTCCTTAGGTCTCAGTGGTCACCACACACTCAGCTTTGGGGAATAGTCATCAGTCTTTAGGGCACACTCCCTCCTGGATGCCTGAGCTCTGAAGAATGCCTTCATATGCAAGCATCTTACAGATGGTTCTCAAGCCCCTGGCTGCCCTTAGTGAGGAGGCAGGAAAATTCAGGGTCCTTTGGCACAGTGCTGGGGAGGACAGGATAGCCGAGGAGCCTGGACACCGGGTGCTCACTCCCATCTCCTTTAGGAAAAGGGAAAGCTGCAGGAAGAAGGTTCTGGATTGTTCTTTGCACACAGCTGGAGTCTGAATCCCAAAGCTGACAGCTGGTAAGGGCCTCCCTAGTTCCAGATCCCCAAATGTGACTGCTTAGGACCCAGGTTCCAACATTCTTACAAAAACAAACAAACAAACAAACAGAAAACTAAAAACAAACAAAACCAAAGCCAAAAACACATGTGGCCTCATGTGAGTGTCCTGGCTGTGGCTTGGGTGACACCGCAGGGTGACACTAGGCCCACATGGTGCTGGCCTAGTCACAGCCATGGTGCCTTTGATGACCTTGTTTGCTGAGCCCACGTCAGTCATCTTCCCCAAGCCCCAGCGTAGAGCATACACTATCACTCAGTGACAACTTCCCCCAGTGAAGGAATGAGTTCTGGAGCCCTGCTCTTCCAGAAGACGCTGCACTCAGTTCCTGAAGGTGGCCACACGCCCAGGAGTGGGCTTGGGGAAGTCAGTTGGCATGTGTGGGTCGGGCGTTGTCTGGTGGGAGCCCTTGCAGCCTGCCTTTCTCTCTCTTGCTTTGTGCTGTCTGGGGCCTCCTGTCTGGCCTCCTGTGGCCCACAGGCTTCCCTCACACAGCCCCACAGTGTGCCTCCACTCCACTGCTGTGTGATTAGAGCTGCAGAGGCTCTGCCGGATCACTGAGGCAGGGCAGAGGCATGCGCTGGCTGTCCACCTTCATTATAACTAGTTCAGTTGCTGTGGGTACCTTTGCTCCTCTCTCCCCCTGACTAGTTCCCAGCATTTTCTGGTTACCTGTGTCTGACTATGGTAACCTAGTCACTAGGAACTGGAAGGGTCTGCTTGGGATATCCAGTCTAACCCCTTTATCCACAAACAGGGATGCTGGGTCCAGAGAGTGCTGTGCCCCAACCATGGTCACACTGCTGCCGGCAGCTACAAGGCTTAACCACAGCTTCTTCTTGTCCAGGCTACTTCCAGGGACCTCCTCCTGGCTTTCCCTTCACGAGGAGACTTTCCACACTCTCTGCCAAAGGAATGGCAGGTGAACTCATTTAAGAGAGGTTTAGTGGGGAAATGGTGGCTCTTCAATCAATTGATGATGTCTGCTTCAAGCCCAGGCTGGGTCTGAGAGGTGGGAGTGTCCTGGAATTTTCAATGCTGTCCAGTGTCTCACTGAGCTGGGGGGGGGGGGTGTCTAAGAGGCCCCCCCCACCGGAGCAATGGGAGCTTCCTGTTTTCTCCTTTGCCATTTCTAAGAGGAAGAAGCCCTGTCTGAAGACACCATTTTTGTACTGAAACAGCAAACCCTAGGCTGATCCAAGAGCCCTGGAAGGTGCTGGAATTCCAGAGAAGGCCAAGACTGGCATTCCTGAGCATCTCAGCATTGCCAAGCAAGCATGTCCTTTCCAGACATCCCACATGGAAGGAGGAAATGCCAGCCATCACAGCCCTCCAGCTCACGCTTGGGGAACTGGAGATTATTACAGAGCGGGTGAATGGCTTCAGCTGTTGGCTTTACCCTTGTGTTTCGACAAAGGCACAGGCTTTGCATGGGATAGGGGTGGGGTGCTCTGAGTTTGGGGTCCCTTGCCAGAACCAGGCAGAACTGTCTATGAGAGGTGGTTGTGAAGTGAGGTCTCTTGCTTGTGTGACAGCCTTGGCTTCTGCCAATCCCTTGACAGCCCCCACTTTGTTCCACAGTATCTACCCCTTCTCCTGCCCCCTCCAATGTACCTGCTCCCCATTCCTTACAGAAAACATTTTTATTGTCTATGAATGTTTTATTTTTAAATTACATATAATATTTCTTTTATTAAATCTAACCTCATTCCTAACCATTCAATTCCTTTCTTATTCCTCCATCTCTTTCCCCTCCAAACTTCATATATGTACTCTCTCCCACACTCCACATCCACTGAGTGCACTTAGTGCTGCCTGTGTGTGCATGGATGACTGGGACCCACTACTACAGGACTTTTTAAGGAGATACCTAAGAAATTGTCCTCTGTGGAAGGCAAACCTCAGAAGCTGGCCCTCACCTTCCTTCTGGGAACTCACTTTTGACACGCCCTTGCCTCCCCTTGGAACAGTGGGAGAGAAACAAGGCAGAAACAGGGTCCACAAAATGCAGCCAGGCCAGGGACTGGTCCATGCCTATGTACAGCTGGAGCAGATTGGTGGGCTGTGGGGGTAAGGATGGAATAAGGGCTGCAAACATCCCCATGATGGCTTCTGACTCCCTCCTACCTCACTCCATGTCCTTGGCTTCCCACTGGCTCCTTGGCCACAGAAGTTCCTGAGCCAGGACACATAATGTCGAGCAAAGTAGAAAAATGGATGATTTCATGTGCACTTCGGGGATGCTCCTGGCCTAGGATTTGAGCATAAGGCTCAGGGCACTTGCTTCCAGCAGAATGTTAAGCGGGGGTGGGGGTGGGGTGGGGGCTAGAGATTGCTTCCTAGCAGACTCACTAGCTGAGCAGCTCAGGGTCTTGCCAAGGTCAGACCCAGAGGTGCAACTATGCACCCAGGCTAACTGTGCAGGGCAGATGTGGGGCAACGGGAACATTCCTTTCTGCAGCCCACGCTGTTTGTGACCCTCACTGTCTTTTTCTTCTAGGTAAGTATTTTTCCTGACTGCTTTTACTAGATAAACTCTGCCTCAATGGCCAGGAGGGGACTGCTCTCTCTCTGTAGAGGGGACTGCTCTCTCTGTAGAGGGGACTGCTCTCTCTCTGTAGAGGGGACTGCTCTCTCTCTGTAGAGGGGACTGCTCTCTCTCTGTAGAGGGGACTGCTCTCTCTC